GAAATAGAAGACCTAAAGTGTTCATATCCAAGTCATGCTTTGGTCATACAGGATTAACTACCAGGTTACTTAAATAAGGTAAACATGCATTGGTTAAATGTGTTTTAAGGGAGAAATTGTGTAACATAATTTATGCCAAATAACTACAAAAATGTCCAATATGATAAAGAACATATTAACTCTTTATTTTTTTTTTAGGTATTTTTTTTTTTCTGTACAGCACTTTCGTCAGCTGCGGTTGTTTTATAAGTGCCTGACAAAAATTGTTAAACACTTATATTATTTATTTAATAAAATTTTGATAAGATTGAATATACCTGCTGGGAATATCAGAAAAAATATGTAATGTTTTAAATAGTATTAAAAATATACTTTTGATGAGACCTTATATTTCAGGGTACAGCATTGCTCTTTTTTTAAAGCTTGTTAGTTGTGGTTCACACTCCCTACTGGCTGGCGGCGGTAATACATCAAACTGTACATTAAACCCATAGACATCAAAAGTCAAGAAGAAGAAGAAGAAGAAAGCGAAGAAGAAGAAGAAAGAAAGAATTGCATAAAAGAAGAGTGTATAACATATTCAGGTATGGAACTTATCTAGAAGTATACTGAAACAGCAGGTTGTTAAATCGCTATAACATCACGTGACTCCAGACAGGTGACCCTCTGCACGGCGAACCCATAACTAACTAAACCCTCTGGCTGGTTTACTGAAAGATCACCGGTAAGTTGACATCACAGAACAGCTGCTTTGGGATCCTGTGTTCAAGTGAGCCGACTGTCATTAAGCTGTAACGGAGGTTAGTTCTTTCTAAAACAGCTCTGCGCATAACAACGTGCATTACGGTAATAGAGCAGCCCTACCGGTGTTATGGACCAGATTTATTTATTTATTACTTTATTTTAAACAAATATTAGTTGGCAACAAACAAGCAAATGACAGAACATGACAGCAATTTAAACAAACAACCGGTTGTTATAGTCTGTTATTAATTTGATATAAAATATAAATGTCTATAAGAAAATGAGAAAAACAGCGTTTTAATTGCAAATTTCCATTTATGAATATAGAAAAAAAAAACAACAACAAAAAAACACTTTGCATCCTCTTTTGGGAATCTATAGAAACTAGATCAAAAGAGCCTAAATAGATGTCATAGTTTCTGGAAGGCCATCACAGAAACTACAATTAGGATTTATGTCTCTTTTAACATATAGCAGGGTACATTTTATGAAGAATTTTAAATAAAACTTTCTTCCCCTTGTTTATGATCTAATATTAATGGGGGATCATCCAAACAGTTTTCCACTGGATGTGTGGGATATTACGGCTCCAATAAAATGCTATAGATGGATGAGAAACGATAGTTTCTTGGAACAACCTGCTTATTCTGTCATTGCTCTCCCCAAAAAAATCTTCAAGTTATTGATTTTAAACATCAACTAAGTACCTGAGGGTACAGTATGAACCAATAGTAAAAATTCCTGGTGAACTGGAAATGTACAGGGGTTGGACAATGAAACTGAAACACCTCTCATTTTAGTGTGGGAGGTTTCATGGACCAGCCTGGTGGCCAATCTTCATTAATTGCACATTGAACCAATAAGAGCAGAGTGTGAAGGTCCAATTAGCATTCCGTAAAAGTAAAAAAAAAAAAAATCCACTGGACTTGGTTTCCAAGATTTGAAGACGTTTCGCCACTTCTCCCGGAAGCTTTCTCAATTCAGTTAGCAGGGTAAGAGCACAGTTTGCTCAAAATATTGCAATCCGCACAACATTATGAGTGACATACCAGAGTTCAAAAGAGCACAAATTGTTGGTGCACGTCTTGCTGACGCATCTGTGACCAAGACAGCAAGTCTTTGTGATGTATCAAGAGCCACTGTATCCACGGTAATGTCAGCATACCACCAAGAAAGATGAACCACATCCAACAGGATTAACTGTGGACGCAAGAGGAAGCTGTCTGAAAGGGATGTTCGGGTGCTAACCTGGATTGTATCAAAAAAAAAACAAAAAAAAACACGGCTGCCCAAATCACAGCAGAATTAAATGTTCACCTCAACTCTCCTGTTTCCACCAAATCTGTCCGTCGGGAGCTCCACAGGGTCAATATACACAGCCGGGCTGCTATAGCCAAACCTTTGGTCACTCGTGTCAATGCCAAACATCGGTTTCAATGGTGCAAGGAGTGCAAATCTTGGACTGTGGACAATGTGGAACATGTATTGTTCTCTGATGAGTCCACCTTTACTGTTTTCCCCACATCCGGTGTGGAGAAGCCCCAAAGAAGTGTACTACCCAGACTGTTGCATGCCCAGAGTGAAGCAGTGACCAGTGATGGTTTGGGCTGCCATATCATGGCATTGCCTTGGTCCCATACTTGTGCTAGATGGGCGCATCACTGCCAAGGACTACCAAACCATTCTGGAGGACCATGTGCATCCAATGGTTCAAACATTGTATCTTTAAGGAGGTGCCGTGTATCAGGATGACAATGCACCAATACACACAGCAAGACTGGTGAAAGATTGGTTTGATGAACATGAAAGTGAAGTTGAACATCTCCCATGGCCTGCACAGTCACCAGATCTAAAGATTATTGAGACACTTTGGGGTGTTTTGGAGGAGCGAGTCAGGAAACATTTTCCTCCACCAGCATCAAGTCGTGACCTGGCCACTATCCTGCAAGAAAAATGGCTTAAAATCCCTCTGACCACTGGGCAGGACTTGTATATGTTAATCCCAAGACAAATTGACGCTGTATTGGCCGCAAAAGGGAGGCCCTACACCATACTAATAAATTATTGGGGTCTAAAACCAGGTGTTTCAGTTTCATTGTCCAACCCCTGTATATATATTAAACAGAATTCATCATAGTTGAGAAATCATCCTTCTTTATTAACAAACTGAGCCATTGGTAGGGTCCCATTTTGACCTCAGGTCTCCAAGAAGATTGACCTGTTTTTAAGTAAAGAAGAATAAATAATACAGATTTCAGAAAGCTGTATGGAGTTGGGATGATCTCAGCCTCCAGGGGCCACATGTAGCTGGCAGCATGGCTGGGGTGGGGTCTGTTAAAACAGAAGAGAAGATTATTGTCTCATTCCTCACCAGTGCTTCACTAACGTGGGGGAAATTATCTGCAGAGGGAGCCGTGATGTTGGTTTCTATACCGGGCCAGGAATCTGCACACCAGATACTAGAAGTACCTCTTAATCTCTCAGTCTTGTCAGGTGAGGTACTGTAGTAGATGTACTATGACCTTATCAATGTTTCTAAAAAAATCCAGTGGGCCCCACAAAGGCAGAGCTGCTGTGATAAATCACATTGGACATTAAATAAACCTCACAAATATTTCTAACCTTTTGTTATGTCCTAAGAGATCCTTTCAAATCCTGTAAAAAACTGAAATCATTTACATTTATGTCATATCAGAAAACTATTTCAGTTAATTTCTAAATGCATCATAAACAGTTAAATTAATCATCCAACATCACATGCCCTCCACATAAAGGACAGACAGACAGACATTGTTCACATAATTCACAATTGTCAGAAATAGCGTTGAGTTCGAGGCTTTATAGCGTGGACCAAAACATGCAGATTGAACCGGACGAAGAGGTCCGCCCCTTAGGGATGCGCAGACGTTTGGGTTCATTGTCAGCCTGCAATACCCGATACCTGTCTATGTCTCTTAAAGGGTGGTCGTTAGGGNAGAAATTGTGTAACATAATTTATGCCAAATAACTACAAAAATGTCCAATATGATAAAGAACATATTAGCTCTTTATTGTAGCTGAATTTTTCTGTATCCTGATCCACAGACAACTTCTGCTGTTGGAGGTGATGCAGTTAGCATTGCCTACCAAGCACTATTAAAAACTTCCTACAACACTTTATTTCCAAAAAAAATAAATCAAATTACACAAAATCAATTAGTTAAAAAACAATTAGTCATTTAGTTTAAATTTTATAAGAAAAAAGAAGCAGATCCTAAATCATTTGGATAATGCATTATAGAAACAGCTACAGAGGTAAAGTCACTTTTTTGTTTATATAAACTGCCGAAGTTATTGCATTAATGTTCACAGTCGTGGATTGGGAAGAGACGTGATTTATTCAGATACCAATTAATTAATTAATTATTATTTCTATTTGTTTTTTATTCAGATACCAATTAATTGATAATTTCAGTCTACAAAAATCATTCCGAAAGCTCTCCACATATTTTTAGAGATTAAACAAACACTATAAGGCATTTTATATGGTTACTGCGCGTATAATGTAGCGCTTAAAAGAAATGAAACAGAACATAAGACAGAAAAAGAATCAACAGACCAGAGTGAGAATTATATTTGAGACAAAGTTAGTAAATCAGAATATAAAACAATTATTAAAGGAAAAATTAAGGAGAAATGTCAAAAAGAAAGAAAAAAAATGATTCTAAGGAATACTAGAGGAAGTTGGAGAAATTTAAAGAAATGCTGGAAGTAACTGAATTCAGTGAAGGATGATAAATAGATTAAAGTTGAGGAGCACAGGAGTTTCTTCAACAATAGAGCATGTAATGTAGAAAGTTTTATTTAATACTTTTATCTTTTACCCAATTTTATTTATTTGATTTGTGTGATTATTATTTTAATCCATGTTTCAGCTGTTTTCTTTTTATTTGTACAATTTTTTTTTAGGTATTTTTTTCTGTACAGCACTTTCGTCAGCTGCGGTTGTTTTATAAGTGCCTGACAAAAATTGTTAAACACTTATATTATTTATTTAATAAAATTTT